GCCCCGCCTGCCTCTGCGAGACCCCACTCCATGCCTGAGAGGCAGGTGCCCAAAGCAGACCCCCTGCCACACACAGATCAAACTGGGGTGATTTAAGAGGTTAATCCCCCATCTCGCAGGATCCCACCCCCAGGGCAAGGGGGTACCCGCACCCATGGCACAAGCACGTTGCCCTTTTCACCACCCTTGCTGGGAGCAGATTGCTGAAGGGAAGGGGCTGCACATGGCTGATTATCTTGGCAGCTGCTCCAGGAGTCAAAGCCCTCTCCTTCCTCCCACGCCCGGCGGGCCAGGAGGTTGTTTTTAATGCTGATGATGTATTCAGCGCTTCTGCCAGGAGGCAGATGAGTCTGCAAAGCCACTGCTGCTCCCCCATCATCCCCAAATACCATGACCAGGTTCCTACTCACTCTGCCAGATTTGCCATTTGCTTCACAGCTTCCACAGCCCCGGGGAGCGGGTCCAGCTCGATGAAGAAGTTCTTGGATTCCCAGATGCTGATGGCTTTCTCCTGTGAGGGGAAAAAGAGCAGTTACTGCACAGGGCTTCTTGCTACTCTTCTTCCATGTGCATCCTCCTCACCCTTTGCTAGGAGAGAGGATGGTGACATAGGTGGGGGCGCTGGTTTCGGTCCCCTCCTGCTAACCCGCCTCGCCGCTGTGGGTGCTTCTGCTCCCCACCTGCCAACCTGCACCCGTCCCATGCAATTTAGATCGGAGATGCTCTGGAGCAGGCTTGATGTTCTCTGTGCAGCCCCAGACACAGAGGAAGCAGCACGTTCCTACAAGGCAAAACACCGAGACTGTCCAAAATGGAACCAAAGCCCGGGTCTGTGTCCGGAGGGGCACTTCCACACAGATCCAGCTGACATGGCCTGGTAGCCCTGCTGTAACGTGATGCTGTTCAGCTCCAGATGCTGTCTGGCCTATTTGCCTCAATCAGATCACTTAAAATAGCAGCAGGGCTGCTCTCAAAGGAGAAAGTATATTACAGGATGAAATGCATGTCAGAATGAACGCAGATGCTCTTCCTCAGAGATCCCTGCCCAAGGTCAACCAGGCAAACAGAGCATCTCCAGGCAAGGGTTTGAACACTTCACATCCAGGTCAGCAGCCGGGGTGCACTGGTATGGCGCATGGGGAGAGCGGAGCCGCGAGAGACCACAGGGAGCAAAACTTCGGGGTGAGGGCAGAGTCCGGGGGCTGCCTGCGACGGGTCCAGCACAGCTCTGAGGAACAGCATCCCCTGCGCTCCCTCAAACAGGTAACGGCTCGTCAGCCGCCAAGCAATGCAATTATTTTGCACAGACACAGGGTCCTCGGGGAGGAGAGCCTGGGAGTGCTGCAACGTGGCTGCGGGCAGAGGAAGCAGCTGTGTCCCGGCATTGCAGCACAGCCAGGCAGCTGCAGATGCAGCCGGCAGAAGTTTTGAAGGGACCCATGTCTTGAGGGATTGATCTTGATTTTGAGCAGCTCTGTTTCTGTGTTTGAGGCAAGGTAATAGGGACAAAAGGAACTTTAAGCCCATCCTGGCCTTGTTGTATTGCAACGGTATGGAGGAGCTGGCAGAGCATCCGGGTCGGGGAGAGCAACCTCAGTGATGCTTATGCGCTGGTGGTTACAACTCATAGGAACAAACAGGCTGGTTGGACATGCCAGCTACAAGTGCAGCTCCCTCCTGCCTGAGGAGTGGGAATCTGGCCTGTCCCACCACGTTTTGCCTTTACTACACCTGCACTGGGGGAAGAAAGCAGGCAACCACAAGCAACTGGGGCTGTGCTGTGAACTCCCGGCTCAAGGTAGCAACGCCCCGGAGCAAACACAGGGCTCGCTCGGGGAGTCATTCTGCTCCGTCCTGCTGGCTGCCGAGACGCCGGCTGCACACCTTGCTTGGTCTCAGGAAGACGAGTGCATGAACCCATTACATATTTGGGCACTGAGCATCTAACACGACATGCCAAAATCAAACCCTGTATTTCTCAAAAAATCCCAGATAACACAAGAACACCAGACACTCAAGTCAAAAGGAGAGCCCACCCAGATCAACTATGGCACTCCTGCCTTTTGCCTGAGCAGCAGAAAACATCAGAAGAGGGAAGAAAAGCCTTCTTCACACACGTTCAAAATGAAACACGCTGATTTGGTGCAAGGGAGCCAGCAGAAATGCCTCCTGGCACCACGGCAAGAACAGCTGGCCCAACAGTTTGCCATGGGGCCAGGCAAACACTCAAATGCCGGCTGCTCTGCCTTAGACTGGTGGGCAACAACGTTTTATTTTTAAGGTACTGAGACTGTAATTGCACAAGAGACATCTGAGAAACGCAGCCTGACGCAGCAAAGCACTTCAAACTGCGCCAAAGTGTTTTCTTACAGCAAGGACTTCCGTAGCTATTCTGCTTCCACTCACGTCAAAAAGCGTTTTGCAGTCAAGCTCGATGGGGGAAGCACTAAGCTCATCTTGAAGAAAAGCGCTGCTCAGCTCCCCGAGCCAGATTACCTCCCTGCGGCACCGCAGCCAGCACGCTGCCCAGCAGACGGAAAAATCCCCCAGGCTGGGAATCCCACCACGTACCAGGCAGGACAGGCCCTTGATTTCCTTCTTCTTATCTCTCCCCGTGAGCAACTTCCCTGCCTGCCCTGTGCTCCCCACCCTTCCAGGTCTGCGTGCTCGGCGTTTTGCTGAGCTGTGGTTCTGCCTTGCGGAACTGGGGCCTTCAGCTCGTCGGACTCTTCGGCTCCCATTTTCCGGTCTCCTCCAGCAGGTCGATGGTGCTCTCCGACGAAGGGAGACTGGAACAGCCCACGTGCCCGTAGCCACAGAGCAGCTCCCAGTCTCCTCGTCCCTGGTCTGACACCACGGGTGAAATCAGGGCTGCCCTGAGGTCGGTCTGTGGAAGCTCTGCTACTTGTTCAGCGCAAGGTTTCGGTGGTTTTATATGATCACAGCAGACACAAGATGAGCTCACTTCATTTAACACATCCAAAGCAGTTAAGGTCAAGGAAAAAAGAAAAGTTATCATGCATTACCCCTGCCAAACTTTTAGCATCTGCCTTAGTGCATGAACGATGCCCTCCATGGCCCATTCATCAGTCCCAGCTAGAGCAGACACGTTGTTCCTTCACAGAATCACAGAATGTTTGGGGTTGGAAGGGACCTCTGTGGGTCATCCAGTACAACCCACCTCATCAAACTGTTTAGGACTTTGCCAGTGGGAGAGCCCCGGACCTTATCCATGCTCCCTTCCTTGTAGCCAGCACACCGCTGACGACAAGAGTACTTTTATTTGCTGTAGCACCTTTCAGTTAGTGCAACTGCAATCCACAGACGAGACCACAGACAACCCATCGTGCTGGGAAACTTGTAGAGGCAGAAACCAACTTTCTGCAGCGCTCAGCCCTTCATTGAATGATAAAGTACAACGCAAAGAGGGCATCTACTTTTAAGCTTTAATTATTAAAATGAATACAACAATTTTCAGGCATGGGAGGGCTTGCAGTTGTTTTAAGTAAGCCCTCACATGGAAGTATCAACGGCATTGTTCGCTCCCAACTTCTCTGCTGCGTCCCACCCCTCACATTGCTGTTGAGGAACTAAATAATCCATCTAAGAACATTTACCGATCCACGCAGCTTGGCCAAACGAGAGCTAGAAAATCCCAGCTGTGCAATTTGCGCATTTTAAAACAGATGTTCTGAAAGATCTCCTTTCCTTGCATCAATCTCCATCCATGCATGCAGGGAAAAGAGATGGATGCGCACGCAAACCACCGGATTCCTGGAAAAGAGGCACCGCCGGAAGCCCTCCTGTACGTGTGCTTCGGCGGGAGCTCCGGCCAGCACCCGTAGCCCCCCCCCGCGCTG